CCCTGCGCCCTTCTCCCATCCCTTGTGCCCTTCTCCTGTCCCCTGCGCCCTTCTCCTGTCCCCTGCGCCCTTCTCCCGTCCCTTGTGCCCTTCTCCTGTCCCCTGCGCCCTTCTCCTGTCCCCTGCGCCCTTCTCCCATCCCTGGTGTCCTTCTCCCATCCCCTCCGCCCTTGTCCCGTCCCCTGTGCCCTTGTCCCGTCCCTTGTGCCCTTCTCCCGTCCCTTGCGCCCTTCTCCCCTCCCTTGCGCCCTTCTCCCATCCTCTGTGCCCTTCTCCCATTCCCTGCGCCCTTCTCCCGTCCCCCGTGCCCTTCTCCCGTCCCCCGCGCCCTTCTCCCATCTCCCGCGCCCTTCCTCCTACCGGCTCCGTGAGGAAGAGCTCCAACTTGCCGTCCTGCAGCACGTAGATGCTGCTATCCGGCTGCCCCGGCCGGAAAACGTAGTCCCCTTGCTGGAACTGCTGGAAGACCATGTGCTTGCAGAGCTCCAGGAACAAGGGCTTCTCGAAGTGACCCAGCACCCTGCCAAGGCCACCGAGGTGGGGGGGACACACGGCGTGAGCCCCCGCGGTGTCCCCAAGCACGAAGGGACAGGGTGCGGGGGGCCTCACCGCACGTTTTTGAGCATGTAGAGCACTTCGGAGGGCAGGTGGGAGTTGGCCACGTCGAATTCGGTGAGGTCGGCCTCCAGCACCGACGGCGGAGGCTCCTTCAGCTGCAACGTGGGCAGCTCCTTCTTGATGCGCAGGAACCTGCGGCGCAAAACGGGGTGAAAAAGCGCCAAAATAGGGCCACGCCGAGCGAGATTTTGCGCCCCCGCGAGCCGCCCGCCCCATCTCTCACTTCTTGGCGATGTTCAGCATCTTGAGCTTCTTCTTCATGCGGGGCCGCGAGGTGCTGGAGATGGTGGTGTCCACCAGGGACGAGGTGGACTGGGAGACCTGCGGGGACGGCTGCTGAGCTCGGGGGCCCCCGGGGACGTCCCCGCGCGGCGCCGGTGACGCCCGGGCACCTTGCGCATGATCTTGCGCCCGTAGAAGAGCATCTTGTCCCGCTTGCGGAARCGGTACTTGGGTGGCTCCTGCGCTGGCACCTCTGCGGAGGGTGACAGGGCTCCCGTAGGTGCCACGCGGGTGCCACCAGCTCCGCGGGGACACCAAGGGCGCCCCACAACTCACTCTTGAGCCGCAGCCGCCGCACGAGCACCGCGATGACGGCGGCCACGAGGACCACGACGAYGCCGAGCCCCAGCATGGCCCCCAGCACCTGCGGGTGGGGGGACACACACAGGGTCCTGAGGTGTCCCCATGGGGCGGGGACAGCGATGGGGACGGGGAGGAGTGTCCCCAAGGCGCCGTCACCCATGGGTGGGGGGTCTCACCGCGCCCGTTTGCAGCTGCTCCTCGGCGAAGAACTTGGGCAGCGCGGCCGTCAGCGACGCGTCCTGCRGGGGGGGACAAGTTGGGGACACTCGGGATGAGCCCCCCCCCCCAAAAGTGCCACCCCTGGGGACCCCTGTGTCCCCCCCGCATTGCTCCGTGTCGCATTCCCACCTCCGCCTCCTCCTGCGGCTCCGACTCGCTCTGCCCCATGGCGCCCGTGGGGCTGGGCCCATGCAGGAACCTGTGGGGGGGGGGGATATAAAAAAGGGGGGGCAGTTTGGGGACACCGCGCGCAGGTCCCACCCCCGCGTTGGGGCCAGGGCCGGCGACGTCCCCGGGACGGGGAAGCGCGAGGAGGAACCCCGCAAACCGCAGCCATTTCCACAGCCATTTCCCCAAAAAGGGGA